ATCACAGGTTATATAATAAACACTTTAAAAGATCTTCAGATGCACACATAATATTCATCTTAATGACCTAAAATGCAATTATGTGACATAGTTAAAAGGAATTGTCATATTATGCTTCAATCTATAATCTAGTTATAATTTAATTGTAGTTCTCAGAATATATCATCCTCGTATCTCAAATACTCACATATTATCATCTCTGTGCGTTATAAATGCCTTCACACTTGAGGACGGTAATGTTGATGCCTTTAGCTAAATAATGATTACCTCTGTAATACCATAAAATTTTTCTAAGATGGCTGCCTCCAAAAGACAACATTATACCTTTAGTCTTGGAGTTCAGTCATGGTCAACTGTCTTGCTTGTCCTCACATGGTGAACTTTTAGGAGTAGAATCCAAGACATTATCAGGCACATAGAACGTTTAACAGAGCTTTGCTCAAAATACATTTTTATGAAATATTTGTTGAAATAAATGGAGCAGTATGATATTTCGAAAATGTACTTGGGTGAGAAGCCAGATAATTATTATTTATTAACCAATCTAAGTAAGTTTTAGTTAGGCAATGGTAAAGTGCAAATAGTTATTCATCAGTTCTTTCTGTGACAAATTTTCTTATAACTAAATATGGCCTATATACTTTAAAACTAATTATATTATCTCTTTGCTAGTTTTTTCTTTAGGACTAGAGCATTCATCACAATACCAAAAAGTCTCTGTATAAATTAAATCCCTCTGTTCTCAAGAATCTTATTTTATTCTCTTTGGCTGACAGTATAGCTCAGCAGGTAAAGGCACTTTCTGCCAAGCCTCACAACTATAGCTTGATCCTGGTACCCACGTGGTGAAAGAAGACAACCAACTCACCCAAGCTGTTCTCTGATCTCCACACATGTACCACAGCATGTATGTGCTCCCCCCATACACACACACACACACACAGACACACAGACACACACACAGACACACACACACACACACACACACACACACACCCCACACGTACACACACACACATAGAGCAGTGGTTCTCAACCTTCCTAATGCTGTGACCCTTTAATATAGTTCCTCATGTTGTGGTGGCTCCACAACCAGAAAATTATTTTGTTATAATTTTATAACTGTAATTTTGCTATGTCATGAATCACAAGGTAAGTATCAGATATGCAGGCTATCTAATATATGACCCCCAAGGGGTTGTGACCCACAGGTTGAGAACCACTGCACTATACAGTATAGGCAACCATGGGGTATAAACATCATCTGATCTGAAAGCACTGTAAGGTTGAAATGAGGTGATATATTCTATGACACATTCTATGACACACATTCTATGACACATTCTATGACAATGTATACACCTCTACACACAGACTTCATAGAGGGGACCATGCATGATTAAACAGTCTCAATGTGAAGAATCAATGATGTTATACTTTTGTAATGTCAGTTGTAAGGTGACTTTTTGGTTTAGTTAATCTTATTAAGAATATGTAGTTTGAGTAGAACCCCTTCAAATATAATGAGAGTCCAATTAAATTGCTAGGAATGATGTTTTTCAATATCATTGTGTGGAAAGACGCAGCTAGCATGTGGTTTGACCCTTTTGTTGTGTTTCCACAGTTCTCTACTGTTCCCTTTCTTCTTCATGGTTTAAATCTTACACTTTATTATGAAGCTACCAAGATATCCAACTTTCTTACAAAGAAAAATTTTATAAAATATAATACAAAAGTTTGAAAAGTAGCAATACATTCATGATTTGAAGAAAATCTTTAAATATTTATCACTTAATTGGCTTTAATTAGCCTATATTTCTGTACAAAATAATAGTTTATTATGACATTTTGATACATGCATATTGTAACCTCAGATGATATTTACCCTTTACTCTCTTTTCCTCTCCTTTCTCTGAGCATAATACCCCATTTACTTTCATAACTTTTAAAATAATCTGTATTATACATATGAGAGAAAATATCTGCTGTCTGTCTTTTTAAGTATGCTAATAGCTAGCTGGAGCTTTAACTTGGTATTGGTAGAACACTTACTAAGGATGTGGGGATTTCCAAATCCTAAATTGACTTTTATCTTTCTTATACAGTTCAGTCTTCTATAGCCATCTTTTATTGTCTGTATATTATACTTTTCTTCATTACTCATTTGGGTTTGAATATTTTTCTGTGTCATTAATTGTTTTGGCATTCATTTATTGCATAAAGACAAGTCAGATTTTAAAATAACATGTTTGTCCCTGCTTATATATGAGACTGCCTTCTATGTCACTTCCTGCCTAGATCACAGACTACTTTTTACTACATTTCCCAGAATCCTCCTCAACTCCTAGTTCCACCTATCTTGCTTTCCTTTTGGCCAACAGTACTTTATTTATCAACTAATAAAATAAGCATATACACAGAAGGGCCTCCCCCATCAACTAAGCATTTATTTAATGGCTGATACATGTCATGCGCAGTGAACAATATCTGTTTTGAATAAACATATACATGTTTGTACACAAACAAAAATATACACATGTGTACAAACAGAAATATACACATGCATACACACATACACATACAAATATATACACATTTGCACACATAAATACATACATGTATACACACAAACATACATATGTACACATGAGTAAATATACACATGTATGCTCATAAACATACACATGTACATGCAGCCAGCCAACCAGCCATTTCTAACTTTTTAAAAGTGCATATGACTTTTTGTGCTAGTATAATAATTACAATTTATTATATGTATATTCTTCAAAACTAAAAATTATTAAATTTTTTGTTGCTAATGAAGAATCCAAAAGTAAGATTTTATTAATGGGCAATTACTAAGATGTTAAAAAGAAAACAACTTTCTTTTTACGGGGAGAAGAGATGTAACTGTGTCTCTAATATAAAGCAGAAGACAGAATTTGATGAAGAGATTTACTTGTTAAAGAAGACCACTTACTTATTCATAAATTGAGGAATCATTGACACAGCATTTATTACACAGGGGGCTGCAACTCTAATAAAGGCGTGGTCTCTACCTTCTAAGAATTGGCACTACAGTAAAGTCATCAAGAATACTGGTCATAAGAAGTCACTGAGGTTTGTCTTTGACTGGAGAAAATTGTAGTTGAGTAGAGTTTGGGTTTAAGCTTATATTCTGAAAGTTTAATGGCAATTTGGAGGCACAGAAGTAAAAAACCCACTATTTGGAAAGAGATGCTGAAGAGTCAGGACCTCGCTGGTGGAAGAGAAGCCTGTTATGAAACCTTCAGTAGGTAGAATCATTAAGTACTTGATGAGGCGGTAAGGTAAATGCATCCAAATCACACTTAGGCTTTTAATTTGGTAGCTGAATCATGGCATTAAAAGAAATTAATCAGTTACATGTTTTTTTTTTTTTTCAGTGCATTCTATGTACCAGATGTGAATCTGAGTACATAAGGTCTATTTTAATTCTAGACAGGTGGCTGGTGGTAAATAAATGATCTGAGGCAGTGATGAATGTAGTGGAGAAGATGAAACAAAGTTCTGTGATGCTGACTGGGGGAGGGGCACTTCAGCAGAGGTAGTCATGACAAATGCCAGCAAAAGAAATGGTGACTTGGATGATAACAAAGAGCCAAGGGAAGCTCTGGTAATGAGGGTGAGGGCCAGGAACACAAAGGAATATTAGAGAAAGGACTCAACATCATCAAATGACAGGAAGGCTGGTGGCATGAAGGGCAGGGGGAGAATGGTGAGTGACTGGCTCTCTACAGCCCACTCTAAGTTTAGTGCTCATTTTCCTTCGTGAGTAGTCAGCTAATTTCAAGTCACTCAATGAATGATGCAACCTGACTTTTATTTCTGTCAGCTATGTGAGGAATGGCCTCTAGGGGAAGACTGGAGGTGGAAACCTGGTAAACATGGTGGCGTTGACTGCTCTAACAGTGTCAAGGCTGGGGGACTGTTGGAATCCAGACACAGAGCCTAAGATGACAGGATTTGAAAAGGATAAAAATGGAACGTGAAGGACAGAGTGGAGTCAAGGATGCCTTGGGGGATTGAGTTCTACAACATGTCATAGGTGATGGTGAGTGATAGGAAGGGATGATGAAAACTTGGATGGCGATGCTTTGGGGTGTGTGTGTGTGTGTGTGTGTGTGTGTGTGTGTGTGTGTGTGTGTGTGTGTGTGTGTGTGTCTGTACATGTGCATACACACAAAAACATAAACAAGTAAAGCCTTCTATGGTTAAGTTAAGGTTGAAATGTTTAGATGTTAAGTAAAATGTAGTCAGCGGGTTAGGTGGTCAAACTCAGTGTCACAGACTAGATAATACATTTCGAGAGTCATGAGCCTCTCCCCAGGTTTAAACAACAAGATTAGATGATACATTCTTGTTTGTTTCTACATGAAGACTTAAGCAGTACAGCAACACTTTCAAGAAGAGAAAGAAATAACTGCATTTTGCTTAAGGTAGATAAATAATTTTGGCTTTTCTATGATAAAGCATAGCCAGTCTCTTGCATTATGATCTAACTGTGTGATTTCCTGTGGAGCATCCCTGTGTCCTTTGTGTTCTCAGATAGTAAACACTGGCTTCTCCTTTGCTCAGAAAGCACTTCTGACATATCTGAGCACATACAACAGCTCTACTGTACTAAGGGGAAGTCTAGAAACAGCATACTCCAAATACCTGGAGACTGTCATCTCAAAAAGCTCCTTTCCTTAGGAAGGAGCCTTGGAATTCATACTGATGAGCAAACTTAAAAACAACAGTGAACTGTCAGACATCCTCGTATATCATGTAAGCATGCTAGGTCTCAGTGTGCCTCGCCGTACCCACATCCCATTCTTGCACTGGAAAACACATGCTACTTGGGAAGTCACTCCCAGAACTGCTCACTGTGTGCTGCCCACCTGCTTCTTGGTGTGAGTTAAGTTACTGTTTAGTGGAATCAGTTTTGCTCTAAAGGATTTGTACTGCATTTCACTTACCTCCAAAGACGGGCTGTCTTCTGCTTCAGAAGTTTTACATTTCATTTCATTTGCTGTGTCTCCTATGCAGCAAAAAAGACAGAGAGAGAACTGTCCTGTTATGACCAATTGTCTTCTGTTTGTTTGCAGTACTTTTTGTTACTGTATGTTCTGTGTTGGGGAAGAGATCACTGTTGTCCTTGTTACAAAGTAAACACATTAGTTAGGTGGGTTTTTTGTTTGTTTGTTTGTTTGTTTGTTTTTTGTTTTCTTTTGGTAGCTTTGGAGCCTATCCTGGCACTTACTCTGGAGACCAGTTGGCCACGAACTCACAGAGATCCGCCTGCCTCTGCCTCCCGAGTGCTGGGATTAAAGGCGTGCGCCACCAAAGCCCGGCCCAAACACATTAGTTTTTAAGAATAATAAAATATATTTTATCTGGGTCTCATGAATCTCCCATAAACACACACTGACATGTATCCTGCTTTACATAAGTTTACACTGAAAAAAAATTCATACTGTGTATGCCAAGTCATATTTTAAGCAAACCAAGAAAGCTATGGCTTGAAGACAGGAAAACTATTTTAAAATACATTTTTTTTTATGACAGGAGTAATTGTTCTCCAGATTTGTCTTTATAAGGTTTAATCTTCATGGTTTTTTTTTTTTTTTTTGTCTGTGTGGATTAAAGTAGATATGTATGTTTCTGTGTAACAATAAACCAAGTGGAAGGCAATGTTCCCAGCAGGAAAGAACAATGAACAAACACATAAATAGCTTTCAGTTAGCACTATGATTTCTAAGTCTGATGCCTCACTGGATTCTATTACTAAATTAATTTGGATCAGCTGACTTAAAGGACATAGACTGCATACACAGTTGAGCAAGTATAACAACTTATTAATGGCCTGCTTTAATCTGCTTATTACTTATAGTGATTGGCACATTGTCAGTCCACACCCAATTAGCCTATTTCTCTGAAGCATAATCAGAAGCTAACTTAGTAATTTGTTAATTGTTCTTCCCATAAAATTAGGTCAGTTTAAGAATGTACATAATAGTAAAATTATCACACTTATGGATGGTGGTTTAATAGAAACCAAAGGTAAGGAATTTGTTAATGCTAAAAGCACTGACTAGAAATAAATCATGAAAATCTTTACTGAGGTAAACTTTTCCTACGAAACACAAATGTTTAGTCTATCAGTGATGGCAATTACAGAGAAGGCTCTTGAAAACTACACAGAACTAAATAAACTTTGTTATACTTGAAATCATGAATTGTTTCTGATGACAGTTACCATACCCAAATGCTCCACTATAGACTAATCAATACGCATTTCTGTCTGTTGGTCATGTTTTCAGTTGTATGCAATGTGACTGTTGCTGGGCAGGACTCAGAACAAAAATAAGGTTTTCAATATATATTGGTTCAATGAATGAGTGAATTTCTCTTTGTAATATTTCACCTATAAAACTGTGGCAAAACACTTAAAGGTAGCTAATTTAAAAAAATACCTTTCTTCTAAAATTTGTGCAATTTAAAAGGCAAATTTATGAAACATTACTTTGACATTTTGTTATTTGTAACATAATTGTGAGATCATTTTTAAATTTTAATAGTATTAAAATTTAATAGTTTTAAATAGTATTAAATAGTATTTAAATAGTATTTAAATAGTTAATAGTATTTTTCAAAATTTTTACTGAAAGAAAACCACTACTAATTTGGTTTGTATACAATAGCTGTAAATTTATTAAGTCAACCCACTGTTGTATAATCCAGGATGTCCAAAGCTCCAACTGATTTTCTACCTGGCAGTTTATAGTAGTCACACACTGACACATCAAAAAGAGCCTTGTCCTTAGCAATTCCATCCCCTGTCAGGATCCACCCCAACATGCACATGGAGAAACCAGAGTAGAAGGAGTTCCCTTGGCTTGACTACAGAAAAGCGCATGGCAGCATAAGCAACTCTCAGGATTCATTTATGTACCATGTTAATAATGCACATAAAAATTCAAACAAAATATATAAGGAACCATGATAAACTCCCTGTGAAAGCTGTCTCCCTGTACAAAAGACCATTCATTTAAAATAGGTCCTACCTACTTAACCCATAGCCATATTGACACTGCATTTAGCTGGAATTATCCAGCACAAAATCTTTGCCATTTTCTTGTTTCAAGGTGAGTACACAAAATTTTCTCCACTTTTCCCAACTGCCTGAAAAGCCAGAAAGGTTATCAGCCAGTGTTCTTGAAAGCACACAACACATCTGCCTGGAAGCAATGCAGAAGCACTATTTACTGAAATGCCATGCTGGGTGATGACTCAGACAGGGCAATCGCTGATTACAAGGGAAATTGCCATCTGCAAGATTATTTCTGCAAACAAAGGCAGAAAATGAAGTGGAGCACAACAAAGGAAAAGAACAGGTCACAGTGAAAGAAATACAGCTTTTGAATTTTTCCCAGTGGAATTATTTTATCATGATGAAAAATTCAATTATTTTGTATAATCCACTTAGAAGTCAGATACCATAACAATAAATAAAAACAAATATGAGAAACACAAAGTAAGATGCTTTAGTTTTGAGAAATTACTTACACTCTGCAGGCTACATAGACTCAAAAAACTCATTTTCAAGTCATCCATTTAGAAGGAAGAAGAAAATACTCTAAAGCTTTCATAGAAATTTATCTTTCATAAAATTGATGATGACTGTTGATCTGCCATGGTAAGCTCTCCCCATCTCTCTACATGACAAGCAAGTAAACTTCAGGGGACAGAGGCACTTAGTGACCTGCCCTAGGTCTTCTGGAGAAAGGCAGACACATATGTGACAGAAGAACCCATTTCCAGAGCTGGTACAGGTGTGAAAGCCAACTGGTCTGAAAAGATCTGACGTCAGGATCTGGGGCTGGTGCACTCCTCCAGTCCTATTTTCCTGTCCCTTCTTGCCTCCCTAAGCTCCACACATTATGAGTTTTCTTTCCTTCCAATGGCAATGACAACCACTTCTGACCAGAGTTAGCTTAGCCTCTGTCCTTCCTTCTGCTCTACAAAGGAAACATACAAGTGCCCTTGGTGTTTATCCAGAGTTTTAAAGACCAGATACAGTTTTACTGTTACTAGAAGCAAAATTGCTCATATTCTACAACATGTTAGTTTCTTTGTTTAAAAATGTAGATTTTATTTTCAGCAAATGATAAAGGCTATACATTCCTAACACAGTTCATTCAGGTCTTACAGGACTAATGTGAAATAATTTAGAGGTTGGCCAGTTTTTGTTGTGAAAGACCAGATAGTAAACATATTGGGCTTTGCAGGCCATACGGTCTCAGTCACAATTTCATAACTCTACCATTGTAGCCAAAAGCAGCCATAGACATCATGTGAGCTAATAAATGGCTATGATCCAAGACAATGTTATTTATGAAAACAGCTGGCAGGCTGGAGCATTTACTAATGCCTGTTGTAGAGGGATATGCGCACCATGCATTTTCTGGGATTAAAAAAAATGGGAAAACGTTAGAGCTCTTCAAGGAGATGGGGGGGGGGGCATTGGAGCACTATTACCATCCCAATTCTACTGTGGGAAGCTGGGGGTGGGTGGGTAGAAGAGGAGAAACAGTGGAAGAAAGTGAGTACAGGACCCGAGGGAAGGTAGGAAGTGGAGGCAAGTCCAGGCATGGGAAGGAGGCCAAATGTTCCCTTGGTCCACCCAGAGGAGTCTTGTACAGAGTTTGGTGGTAGACAATTAAGGTAACAGACCCATGGCTCTCACTTCTCAGGCCCCATTATGACTCATCCCTGGCTACTCTTTTCTTGTGGACTGGTGAGTTTGGGAGGACCTAGTTCTATATGGCCGCACCCTTTCTTTAGTTTCTCTAAAGAGCACATGCTGCTCTGCTCAGCCCTCTTCCCAGTGGGGGAAGCCTGCTCCCACTCGGCATATCCTACAACTGGGTGGAAGTCAGTCTAATTACGGGAGGCACATTAAGAAACCCATTTGCTTCTTGATTTAAACCAAGTTTATTTAAACCAAGATTATTCAACACAAGTTTCCAGGCAAAAGAATTTGGTCTCTCATGGTTTTGCATCAAATTGGTCATATTTTCTATGGGAAGGAACATCCTTGAGCTTCTAAGCACCAGGATTGGACTGATACGAGCATAACTGAAATTTGCCTCCATATAAAAAGATAGAAGTAGGAAGCAACTGGAAAAGATCATATTCAGTGAGTTAGCTCAACAGGAAGGAAGACATGCCTAGTATTGGAAACCTAGCCAACTATATAGGGTTGGTGCAGTCATAGATCTTAGAAAATCTACAAACACCTTACCAAACTAGCACAATCGCTAACTACCTTCTAAATATTTGTCTTTATACTCACAGGTAAGTGTAGTTCTTACCCACAATCAAGGAAATTTCTCTTTGCTACATATACGGACAGTCCATAGAAATGCGCTTTTGGAGTTCAGCCCCAACCAATACATCTACAATACAATTCCTGCACGTAAAGCTTGGGGATCATTGCAGAGAGGGGTGGAAAGATTTAAGTGCCAGAGAGACAAGAGGTTTGCTGTGATACTCCCTCTCTTAGACATGTCATTAAGCTATACACATGAATTCTAACCAATGTGGCTACCTAAACAAGGTTGACACCAACATACATGCTAACAAGGAAGGAGGAAATTTCATGGGTCTTCAACCATAGACAAAGAACTACATGCAACTAAGGAAAATTGAGAGTAGGAGAAACAGTCCTCCCCAGGGAAGAGCCTATCAATTATACAGACTGAGCAGGTTGCATTTAGGAACACGAATGAGCATGCGCACACACACAAAACACACTTATACGTACACACTCAGATGCACACACACACACACACACACACACACCAATTAAAAAGAAGCCATGAATTTGAAAGAGGGGGTAGGTGGCAGAATTAGGAGGAGGAAAGGGAAGAGGGAAATGTTTTTATGTATGTATACATTATAATCTCAAAAAATAAGTGATAGGAGTAGAAAAATATTTTTTACTTTTTCTTTATTAGAAAGGATTTATTTCTAGAA